CATCTTTGTACGGATTAGTTTTAAGGCTTATTCAGGGTTTTCCTTTCTGAGGACAGCGGACAACCCAGTCAGATGATGCCGAACTGCTTCACTTCGCTGCTGTCTGCTTTTCCAAAAGGCTTCACACTGTCAACAATGTCAGCAGCAGAACTGCTCTTAGGCATGTACATCTTTCAGAGGCTCTCCTAGACACATCATCCTGGATAGAAACTGCATGTTACCACTTCAGCCTCTTTTCTCCTGCATTTTAAACTCTCATCCCTCATGGTGAATTTTATTCCCGAAAAAGCATTTTTTTCCTTCCTCAATGGCAATATTTGCTTCCTCGTTATGTACCCTTTTGTTTTCTCTCTGAAAACCCGGCTTGTCCACAGCCTTGCCTCTGGCAAACAAAGAGACAATATCCTATCAAGGGCACAGTATTCACCAGTATTAATCTATAAAACAGAAAAAGAGGAGCTCTGGAGTAGCTGTAGCCTGAGCTATACTTGTCAGGGTTTGAATTGCTATAGATTTAAGTGGGCTGAGGGAAGTGGGATATGCTGTGAGGAATATGAGGAGCTATCCCGGCTGTCGGATCACTCCTTTTCTTCCCTTAGGGCTCTCCTTTTAAAGGCCTGATATCATTACTGCTTCTAGTAAAAGATAAGAAAGCCCACACCACTTGGACTGAAGCAGACCCCATAAATACACGTCTGCAGTAAATATATTGTGCTGTCTGGTACATCTGCAGTGTGTCTCAAGCCTTTGCCTTTTAGATCCAAACCAGATTAATTCCTGTGAAACTCAGGGTTGTTAGCTGGTTCCCTTGTGTTCATAAATTAGTGCACTTGCCTCCATGCCAGTCCATCTCAATCTTTATTTTCAACTTGATATAAAGTTGCCCTCTGTACACCATCCAATTAGGTTGCTCTTTGTTTGACCTCCAGCTGTAAGCACAGACAAAACAGTAAAAGGTTACAAGTGTCAAGTCGTCCCTATAGTGATGTTTTGTTTTGGGTCTACTAGGCAGCACAGATTTGCATTCGACTAGAAGTGCCCTGAATATTTAGCATAGATGTTTTTAATCTATTTGGAGCATTTAAAGCTACAGTGTGTAATTTTCAGCGACATCTAACGTCCAGACT